CGGAAGAGGCTTTAGATTCTCAGTGCTGTGCTTTAACCCGCTGCGCCACCAGGGAGGGACCGTCTCCATACTTTTTTCCATGGGTGTGAGGCCAGTCTACAATTCCACCAGCAGGGTATGAGGGTTTCTTTTTTCTCTATACCTCACCAACATTTGTTGTTTCTGGTTTGTTTATTTTTTTATGAGTCATTTTCACAAGAGTAAGATGGTTTCTGATTGTGGTTTTGATGTACATTTTCCTGCATAAGTGATGGTGGTCAATTTTTCATGTGACTGTTGACCATCTGTAGGTCTTCTTTGGAGAAGTATCTGTAAACCTGTTCTGCTGAGTTTTTCATTGAATTCTTTGTTTTCTTTTTGCTAAATTTTATGAATTCTTTGCAGATCTTGGATATTTGACCCTTATCAAATGTATAGTGTGCAGATATTTGCTCCCACTCAGCAGGGTGTCTTTTGTCTTAATGATAATTTCTTTCACTGTGCAGAAAGCTTTTAACTTGTAATCCCCTTTGCTTTTGTCTTCCTTGCTGTTGGAGTAGGGCTCCAAAGAGATTTCTGAAGCCAATGTTCTACCTCTGTATTCTTTCATGTATTTTATAGTTTCCAGTCTTACATCCAGCAACATTTTCCTTTCTCCATTGTATGTTCTTGTTTCTTTTGTTGTAAATTAACTGTCTGTATAAATATGGGCTTATTTCAGGAGTCTCAATTCTATTCCATTGATCTGTGTGTCTACTTTTACTCAAATAACATACCGTTTTTATTACTATGTCTTGTAAAGGAGTTTTAATCTGGAACAATAGAAGTATTGTTCTTCTAGTATATTTTTTTTTTAAAGATTTATTTATTTATGCATACAGAGGTGGGGTATAGGTCAGAGGTGCAGGGGTGGTGAGAGGCTTCACCAGAGACAGAGTGGGGAGCAGAACAGGCAGATTGATGAAGTACACTGCTGAGGGGAGCAGCGGGCGGGTCAGGAGAGGTCTGCCTCGCCATGTGGTCACCTCCGGGGCAGGCGGGGATCGAACTCATGCGGAAGTGGCTTCAAGCTTCTCAGTGCAGTGCTTTAGCCCGCTGAGCCACCAGGGAGGGCCACAAGGATTTTTTTTTTAAGTTTTTTTTTTAAAGACTCAAATGTCCATTAAAAAAATGGATAACGATATGGATAACGATATGGTATATACCCAATGGCACACTACTTGGCTATAGGAAAATAAAGATGAAATCCTGGGCAGCTTAGGGGTTAAGTCTCAGTGCTGTCACCACTATGGCCTGAGTTCTATGCCCCGCCAGCCAGAGAGCCGACCCACGTGGTGCAGCAGACCTCTCCTGTCTCACCCGCTGCTCCCCATCTTGCTCCCATCCTGCTCCCCATTCTGTCGCCAGTGAATCAGCTCACCCCCCACACCTCTGACCTACACCCCAGTTCTATGCAAAAATAAATCTTTAAAAATAACGATGATGGGCCCTCCCTGGTGGCGCAGCGGGTTAAAGCACAGCACTGAGAATCTAAAGCCGCTTCCGCATGAGTTCGATTCCCGCCTGCCCCGGAGGTGACCCACATGGTGTGGCAGACCTCTCCTGACCCGCCCGCTGCTCCCCTCAGCAGTGTACTTCGTCGATCTGCCTGTTCTGCTCCCCACTCTGTCTCTGGTGAATCCTCTCACCGCCCCTGCACCTCTGGCCTGTAACCCAGTTCCATATGCATAAATAAATAAATCTTTTTAAAAAAATTATTCCAACCAAGTTCTATGCTAGATTCATGGTTTTTGATTGGCATAAACAAATCAACAGCAGTATAATGTGTGGGAAGTAGCAAAATATACCTTAGATATGCCTTAGAAAAGATTCAGAATTGGTACCTCTAATTTGTATCAGATATGAGTGCACTTATACAAAGATTATGAAATGAATGTACCAAGATGCTACAAAATGGAAACATACACACATTTTTTAAATTCCCATTGCAATCTTCCCATGATAACTATTACAAAAGAAAAAAATTTATATTGTAATCAAGCATGCAATTTTCTGCTCCCTAATACAAATTATATAAAAATAAAGACTTACATACTCATTGTCCCACTATTTTGTTTCCCACTATGCCAACATTAAGAGCTTATCTCTTGCAAAGCTCAAATAAATATATATTTTTTTATCATTCAGTGTGTGCCAGACATTAAATATGAGGTTACTTTTATAAAATATGACATCAGGCCCTCCCTGGTGGCGCAGCGGGTTAAAGCGCAGCACTGAGAATCTGAAGCCACTTCCGCATGAGTTCGATTCCCGCCTGCCGTCTAGGTGACCACATGGCGTGGCCCACCTCTCCTGACCCGCCCGCTGCTCCCCTCAGCAGTGTACTTCGTCGATCTGCCTGTTCTGCTCCCCACTCTGTCTCTGGTGAATCCTCTCACCCTCTGCAACTCTGGCCTGTACCCCAGTTCTGTATGAATAAATAAATAAATCTTAAAAAACAAACAAACAAACAAAAAAATGGAAACACCCAGTTTTGTTTCCTGGAAACCGGAGATACACGGTCCCTTGGATGCTGCTCTCTGTATTTCAGGAACTAAATGTTCTATTTACTCCTATAAAATATAAATTTGTGAATTTATTGTTCCAGGATTTCAAAATTTCAGTTGGAAACTTCCCACAGCCTCCCATCCTACCTTTAGTTAGTTCCTAGAGCTCTCAGCCTTGTAACCATGGGAAGAAAGAGAATGAAATCTGTTCAGCAGGTCAAAACCCCAAGATGATTCTGCAATGTGATTGTTCTCTTCTAAAAAATCACTGGTCAGGGCCCTCCCTGGTGGTGCAGCGGGTTAAAGCACAGCACTGAGAAGCTAAAGCCACTTCAGCATGAGTTCGATTCCCCCTGCCCCGGAGGTGACCACATGGCGTGGCAGACCTCTCCTGACCCGCCCGCTGCTCCCCTCAGCAGTGTACTTCGTCGATCTGCCTGTTCTGCTCCCTGCTCTGTCTCTGGTGAACCCTCTCACCCTCCGCATCTCTGGCCTGTACCCCAGTTTTGTACGAATAAATAAATAAAAATCTTTAAAAAAAAAAAACATAACTGATAAGAATGATCA